TCCAATATTGAAAATTTTTACGAACCATCCATTCACCCCTCTTCGAGGAACCTCCAAAACAACGCCCTGGCTGAAGGGCCAACTCCTCACGACTCATCCTCCACCACCCTCACAAAGAAGGGACACAGATTCTAATAGATATTAGAGAGTCTGAGATCAGAAGACATAAACACAGCCCAACTCACGAGCAACCACTATTTTTCCATATCACAGAATTAAATCCACATAATCCACGTAAGAAAAAAAAGCGGGGTAAAGGGGGGGGGGAAGTAACATGGAACGTGAAACGGCAACACACTCACACTCAAACCCAAAGCCCGCCAACCCAAACAAGAATCCACTATCCGTCATAAAAAAAATCCCTTCCCTCACTGCAACATTGGCGCTACCTCGCGAAATACGACCCCCTCCCTTTTCCACCCCCCCCCACATACAAGCCCCCACCCCTCGTTGGTCTTTGTCTCGGTTGACCCTGCTGGCCTAGGCCTCGTTCGCAATTTTCGCCTCTTTCAGCCACCTGCACCACGCCATAACTGCGGCTAAAGGGCACGCTTTCTTATTCGATCATTTTGAACAGCTAATTTTGTAAAAAGAGGAGAGTGTTTTCCCTGTTGCCTCTCTATATGTGGTACGCCTTTTTCGTGCTCACCTTTCTTCTAAGTATCACTTGGTCTTCTTCATATGTCAAGTTTTTTCCTGCTAGCCTCACTCGAAGAATCCGTTCGTTACTTGGCACTATTGTTCCATGCAAACATTCTAACTTCCTTTTTTTGATATGTGAACCCCTTGACTTCGGGGTGTGGTTCACTAGGACAGAAAGCGACTTTTTCGCGTTTCGCGAAACATTTTTCGCTGCGGGAACCTCAGGTCCACCGCTGATCATCAGTGGACCCGAGTTCCCGCAGCGAAAAATGTTTCGCGCTGCGAAACGCGAAAAAAGTCGCTTTCTGTCCTAGTGAACCACACCCTCTTCGCAGCCATGCATCAATACCTGAAGTCTCAACCAGATATGAACTTCGGAACAATGGCAACCGTGCGTTCGCACTATTCGAACGAGGGGGTCGCATTTGTGGTTGGTTTTGGGAAGGGGGGGGGTCGCATTCAGGGGTTGAGTGGGATCAGTAATTAGTAATGAGTGGGTCGGGTGAATGGCGAGGCAATTTATGGTTAGATTGGTTTGGAGGGATTTGTTGGGTGTAATTGGCGCGCGTAGGATAGGCGGGAGGACGGGAGGAAGTGAAAATTTGCCGTTCCGTTTCATTGCACTTATAAACCCCCTCCCCGCCCCCCCCCCCCCCCCCCCCCGCTCGACAGCCGTTTTGGAAGGGAAAGTGGGTGGAGTTTGGTGTTTCGACTGGTCTCAGAATCAAATACTATAGAAACAGTCATTCTGGCAAGGGTGGTGAAGGAGAAGGAGGGTGGTCGTGTTAGGATTGCCTCCTGAGCAGGGTCAAC